GGGAATCCGCCTGCAGCTCCCCCCAGACACCTTAGCTGTGCAGCTGAAGAGTGGAGCTGCCCGAGCACTACCGGCTTCATAGTTTGCCGGGCAGCCCCCAGACCTCCAGACCCTGCCGGGCACTTCCCCAGCGCAGCCGGAGCCCGGGAGGGGAAGTGCCCAGCCGGGGGTGCAGGGTCTAGAGGTCTGGGGGCTGCCTGGCAAACCGTGAAGCCAGTAGCGCTCGGACAGCTGTTTTGCGGCTGGGAGGGAGCAGGGGGAATGCCGGGCGCTCAGGGGAGGGGGCGGAGTTGGGGCGGGGACTTTGGGGAAGGGGCAGAGTTGTGGGCGGAGAAGGGGCGGGGCCAGGGGCCAGTGGAGTGTCCTCTTTTTTTAATGAGGAAATATGGTAACCCTATGTTAATTGCTGTCTACCCAAGCCAGGAGGCTTTGGCTAAAGACTGCTCATTGCTCTGCCCTGCCTAGATGGCCAGATCTACAGACTGTGTAAATTGTCTCTTGGACTAAAGAGTCCCTGTTACTCTGCCCTGACCAGAGGGCCAGAGCCCTAGTCTGCTAATTGACTGCTTGCTGTTTGATGTTGTGAGGCAGGGTAGCCTCCCTCTGAGTCTGACAGGGAGGAGGACCACAGAACCACTACAAACCACAATAGCAAGGGGCCTCTGGGCACACGTCTAGGACCAGCTGAAACACTAGGGACCCCAGTTAGCTATTGTACACACATCACAAGGACAGATTTGGGATCAATTAAATGAGGGTTGGATAGAACCGCAGGCTGAATCATTCTGTTAGGCCACAAGCCAGGGACAGTATGGAGGAGGGCAGAGTGCAAAGATGTGGTGCAGGTCACTCTGGGAAAGTGCAACATGAAGGGGTGCAGTGTGGGGAGATGGCAGAAACAATTCCCCATCCCTAGTACAGGGGTGCAGTGATGGGAAAGCAGAGGAGTGAAGGAGTGGTAAAGCTCGAGGCTAAGATGGAGAAGGAAGAAATGCATTTGCTGGTAGATTCTCTAATTTGAAGGAGAAATAATGTGGGTCTTTGCACCAGCCACCCCATTCCTCCTTTCATGACCCCGAATGCTGCTGACAGTGGAGGCAAACAGAAGCTCAGAAGATATCTTACCAATGATGATAAGAAGAATTCCAATCACCACCTGGAAGAAGAGAGAGATGCTGATGAGCGATATCAGGGTGGCATAATACTGGAATGAAACCTCCTGCTCCAGCACCGCTTTGAGTTGTGTGACATTGGCCATGAACAGCGCCACATCCAGCATGCTTTCTGCCACACTCTTCTTAGTTGCATAGTGGTTGATGTTGATTGGATTGTCCCTCCTTGAGCCAGGATTCCCCACCTGGGTAGAAGGGAGAGTGAGAGTAAGATTCCTAAGCAGACTGGCCAGTCCATTCTGGCTTGAGTGTTAGCCCCACCAAGGGGGTAAATCTAGAAAGCTTTCAGAAGGCACATTCCATGAACCTGAAAGGCAGAAAATTTAAAACTGTTAAAGGAAACCCTTCTTCCAGCCTCCCCCACCACCACAATTGGCCTGTGGATCTCATTGCCACAAGATAATTGTGGAGACCACAAATTTAGCAAGATTAAAAAAAGAATTGGACATTTGTATGATTAATAAGAATAGCCAGTGTTAGTCATATGGCTTAACAAAACCCAGGAGTTATGAAAGAAGGGATATTTAACCCTCATTCTTCAAGGCACAAAGCAACCTTACATTAATGGGGGATTAGGGAACAATATTCCCCCATGGACAAGGTACTCCAGGTCTTCCTACAGCAGGGTTCTTACACACCTTCCTCTGAAGCATCTGGTGCTGGCTGCTGTCAGAGACAGGATACCAGACTTGATGGACTATGGGACTGATCCAGTCTGGCAATTCCTATGTTCCTACTCTTGAAACAATTACACTCCACTCATCCGAACTGTCAGCAGTTTTAAAACACAGACACACAAGGTCTGTAGATGTATGTCAGCCTCTGCAGGGAGCAGAAGAGGCACGGAGTGATGGGTACACTTGTAAATATACCAGATACTAGCCAAGCTGTCAGAGAAACTGGGACTTGCAGTCTGTGAGCTGCAGCTTTGTAGTGGACATGAAGGCAGCTGTGGGATGATGCATTTTAGGGCTTTCTGGGCCACATTCGGCCTGCAGATTGCACCTTTGGCTACCCCGACTTAATAAAGAGCACAAAGGAGAAGAGCCAGCTACTACTACACCCAATCAGCGCCTTCCTCTCCCTTGCCTTTGTCAGCCATCCTGACTGAATTCTGAGTTCTGCAGCTTGTTTAGACTCATTGCCCTGACTCAAATGGCCATTGGCCCGGGAGAGTATGAGAGACAAGCAGGGGCGGAGAAGAAGATGATGATCTTTAATTAAATATTCACTGGGAGCATGGTGACATGGTAGCAAATCTCAATTGAAGGAAAGAGCCAAGATCTTGACGGATTGGAATATATCAGCAGAACACCATAGCAGAGTAAAGGAAAGAGATAACTAGTTGAAATCTGTAGCATGCTGGACTGCAGTTCTGGAAAACACAGGCTGTTTCTCACCCATATCCACCAGAGCCTTTAGAAAGCTGGAAAATCAGCCACCTCATGATTTTCTGACTACGTGGCCTTTACTGAACTCCCCGTTTTGAGTTTACCACCTTATCTGAGCTTTTCCTCTTAGGCTCTCCCATTAGCTGGCCCATTAAGTCTATGGAAGAGAACCAGCTGCAGCCTGAAGGTGATCATTTAGTTCCCTGAGCTGTAGGCTGTTGATCCCTCTCTCCTGGCAGGAGAGTACTCTTGTGACACAATAGGATATGTCTGTATCAAATTATGAGCTCTTTTTGTAGAGATGTTGACAGCTAGGCTAACCTTGTCTAAGGGCAACTTATCATATTGTGTTCCAGCCAGCGGCCCAGCTCAGGAGAATTGTTTAACACCTCATTGAAGAACTATACTAAGAGCCATCACACAGCAAGCTAGGGTCACTGATTTTGTTTGTCTCTCAATTATTGACCCACTCCCAGGAAGCAATGGTTTTTCTACATGAGCCCACATGGGGTGGGGACACAGACCTGACTGCTGGATCCGTAACTACACCATCTGTCCACATGGCTCAGAGACAGAGGCTCTATTTAAGAGCAGGGGTCTTCTGCTCTGTGCAGGCAGGGGGGGCCATATTGAAGTACTGGCAGGAGACATTGGGCAGGAGGGACTCCGTGCATGCTGAAACACTGCTGACCCTTGGACTCAAAAGAAGGGGTGAGCTCAGACTAGTGGAGGGTGCATCTGAGAACTCTTATTATGTCTAATGTTCTGTAACTCTCAAGTGCTTTAAGATTAAAGACTGTCGTTAAGAAATTCGTTTGCTAAGCCTGTGTTCCTTGATTTCATGCCACTTTGTTTCCAGAGGGGTTACACTAGAAGCCCAGAGAGCCCACAGCCTAGGGGAGCTTTGTGGGAGCATGTGTAAGTGAAAGGGGAGCTCAGGAGAGACACTGCTTTCAAGGTCTAAGGCAGCTAGACAGTGGCATCCCACGTCCAAGGAAAGGTGTCTGACAAGCGGTTGGAGCCAGGGGTGGGGACGCCCTGGAGTCCCAGAGCTATAAAGAGTGACTAGACTCTACCTGTATCTAGCAACAGAGAGTCCTGTGGCACCTTTAAGACTAACAGATGTATTGGAGCATAAGCTTTTGTGGGTGAATGCCCACTTCGTCAGACGCATGTAACCACTTCGTCAGAATGCCCACATCTGATGAAGTGGGCATTCACCCATGAAAGCTTAAGCTCCAGTACATCTGTTAGTCTTAAAGGTGCCACAGGACCCTCTGTTGCTTTTTACAGAACCAGACTAACACGGCTACCCCTCTGATACTTGATACCTGTACCTAGTTGAGCTGGAATCATGTGGGACCCAGCGAGTGGGTCCACTCACAACAAATTGGTGGCCATACAGTGGGGTACTGAGCCAGAGTAAAGCAACTGTATTTTGTTCCATTTATATGGTTTTCTCCTGTGTTTTTTTTCCCCATTCTCAAGGAGGCAGCACATCATCCCAGTGGGATAACACTAGGCATTGATAGCTTCTTTGTGTAATGATGAGTGAAGGATGTGAGAACAATGAAGCTAAGCAAACAAGACAGTGCTTCTGTCAAACAAGTGACTGGCACAAGTAGGCTTAGACATCTGTTCTCAGTCACTTACCCAGAGACAAATAAAGCAAATTGGTTGGGGATTTTTTTTTCTTCAAATTAAAACATTTCCTTTTTTAATCTGGTGCTGAGCCCTTTAGCTTGAGTGAGAAATCATAGAAATGTAAGGCTGGAAGGGACCTCAAGACCAGCCCCCTGTGCTTACGCATGACCAAGTAAACCTAGAAGACCATCCCTGACAGGTTCTTGTCTAACCAGTTCTTAAAAATCTCAGATGACAGGGATTCCACAACCTCCCTTGGATTCCAGTGCCTAACTATCCTTACAGTTAGAAAGTTTTTTAATATCTTACCTAAAACACCCTGACTACAGATTAAGCCAGTTACTTCTTGTTCTACCTTCAATGGACAAGGAGAACAATTGATCACTGTCCTCTTTATAACAGCCCTTAACATATTTGAAGACTGTTATCACGGTTTTCCTTACTCTTTTCCCCAAGACTAAACATGGCCAGTTTTTGTAACTTTTCCTTGTAAGTCAGGTTTTCTAAATTTATTGTTTTTGTTGCTCTCCTCTAGACTTTCTCCAGTTTGTCCACATCTTTCTTAAAGTGTGGCATCCAGAACTGGACACAGTACTCCAGTTGAGACCCACCAGTGCCGAGTAGAGCAGACAATTACTTCCTGGGTCTTACATACGACACTCCTATTAATACGTCCGAGAATGATTTTAACCTTTTTTGCAATGGCATCGCATTATTGACTCATATTCAATTTGTGATTCACCATAACCCCCAGATCCTTTTTAACAGCACTACAGTGTAGACACTTATGCCCCATTTTGTATTTGTGCATTTGATTTTTTTTCTTCCTAAATGTTCCATGTTGCACTTGTCTGTATTGAATTGCATCTTGTTTATTTCAGACCAGTCCTCCAATTTGTCAAGGTGTAACCGTGCCTTTGGGGTTTCACAACTGAGAATTCCAAATTCAGGACAAAATAGGGCAGATACACCCCAAAACTGGAGATTATTCACCCATGAGATATACCATGCCAGCAACAAAAGTAAACTTCTATTTCACCACACTGGCTAATAAAAAGTCAGAAAACCAGTTTCCTTAGGCATTCCAGTCCTTGTATCACCACCAAAAACATTGGATTTAAAGATGAGTGGTTCTTTAAAACCAGTCTCATCAAACAAAAGGTTCTTCTGATCCCAAAGGACCAGCCACACGCCGAGGTCACTATATATCTCAGATCTTACCCAAAAATCACACTGTTGCCAATCCTTTAATATCTAAAGGTTTATTTATAAAAAGAAAAAAGAAAGGTGAGAGTTAAAGTTGGTTAAAGGAATCAAATACATACAATAATTGCAAAGTTCTTGGATCAGGTTTGTAGCAGTGATGGAATAAACTGCAGGCTTAAGTCAAGTCTCTGGTTGCTTCCAAATCATTGGAAGGTCCTCAATCCCGTGGGTAGAATGCTCCTATTAGTATAAGTCGATAGTCCAGAGGTTTGAGCAGGAAAGAGGCAAAACGGTGGTGTTTCCATGTCCTTTATAGCTTTTGCCATGTAGAGGGAAACCCATTGTTTCAAACAAAGCCCTCAGCACAGCTAGTGAAAAATCACAGGAGACAAGATGGTGTTTGGAGTCATATGGGCAAGTCACATGTCCATGCACAATTTTGCTTAGTCATAGCAGGAAGCCATAACCTATACTTCAGATGGAACGTCCACAGGAAAGTCCATTTAGTGTAGATGGGCATCTCCCATGGTCAATTATGAGTTAAGTGTCCCTTGATGAGCCACTTAATTTGAATAGTCCCTTCAAGATGGGTTCACTAACTACCTTGTGGGTGTTACTGCAGGAACAAACATTTGAAATCCAGGTATAGAGCCAATACTCATAGCTTCAAGTACAAAAATGATACATGCATACAAATAGCATAATCATATTCAGCAAATCATACCATTTCCATAGACACCTTACTTTACAACCTTTGTACAAGATTTGTTGCAAATATATAACAATGGTTGAAACAATGATCTACATGGTCATATTTTATAGATAAAGTCACACAATGCCACTTAAATTCTAATCCTATCTTCCAAAGTGCTTGCAACCCCTCCCAACTTGGTGTCATTCACAAACTTTATAAGCATACTCTCCACTCCATTATCCAAATCGTT